ATGCATTCAATGAAGTGGACACAGCTACTGGAAACTTATGTGAAGAGTGAAAGCGTACACACATACGTTTGAATCTGAATTGCAAGCATGACTAAAGCGCATGCCATCTACACAATCAGAGACTGTTTTAATGTTATTAATATTGCTGAATTCAGTGCCCTGTTACTGTTAAACTCTAATTCAGTTGCTTTACTCAAAATTTATTTCTTCGTTGCGAATTTGCATATACGTTGAGTAGGCCATCCTTTTTCATGAATTTGTTCTTTATTCATTTGTTTTTCTTTTCGGGTACCAGATCACATAATGGAAGTTTTAAAACCGGTGTTAACAGAAGTATTAAAGTGAAGATGGCTTACAATAACTCTCGTATATTATACAATCGAAAACTTTTTTGACCGTTTAAACTAATTTTAAACTTAGTTCATACTGAGAAAAATTTAATTGTGATGATGAAGGATTATAGGTATATCTTACCTTGATTAGATCTATACAGTGCATCCAGTTAATGTTTATTTTCTGCTTGCAAAGTAGTCTTAAATTTTTGCACTTGAAAAGAAGAAGCTGATGGTTTAAATATTTGCATGTCAAACAGTGTTGTCGTTCAGTACAATAATATAAAAAAGTTCAGTCTCGTTTTAATAATCATTTGAAGAGGAGAAATCAAATATTCATGTTTTGCAAGTTAGTCGACTTTTAATACATAGCAATCTGCATAACTCGGCTATCAAAAATATAATCAAATAACATACTGACAGCTTTAGTCAAAAACACAAACCGCAAAAGCTTTTTTTTTCTAATTATGAAACTTAAGATAATAATAATAATAATAATAATAATAATAATAATAATAATAATAATAATAATAATAAACGGCAATGCGCATGTTGTTTTTTGTTGTTTTTGCATTTTTGCTTTTCCTTTTCACAGTTAGCAAGTACCTCCTTCTACAGTCATGAAGAATGAATATAAATTATTTATTATGAGTAATTGGAATATCATATTATTAGGTTAGATGGAAAATAACTTCTCAGAAAAAGTTTTCTGCTCATTTTGGTTGTAACCAAAGTATAATTACTATTTTAGACGTTTTAATAAAAGTATTTCTAGTATATTTAATGTGTGTATTCGCTTGCTTTATCATTAAGTTCAGAGATATATAAGCATGTTTTGCGTTTCTCATGGCATGCAATTTTGTTTCATAGAAGGTGAACTTTGTCAACTTAAGATTATTTCTCTACGTATTGATTGTGTTTGAGATCTTTTCATAAGTCATGCTGTTTAAGTTAGTATAAAAAAAATTTGATATGGCTGTTAAGATGGTGATATTTATGTCTTCATGTCTGTCGCTCAATCCCTCCATTAGTAATGCAATCTATCTCATACACTAAAGACACAAACTTGAAATTTTAGGATCACACACACACACACACACACACACACACACACACACATATATATATATATATATATATATATATATATATATATATATATATATATATATATATATATATACATATATATATATATATATATATATATATATAGAGAGAGAGAGAGAGAGAGAGAGAGAGAGAGAGAGAGAGAGAGAGAGAGAGAGAGAGAAAGGATCTCAAATGCGCAACGATTTAATATTGAATTTATGAAACAAGTTGAATAATATCCAGCCTTTGCGAGTCAAGGCTCGCAAAAGCTGGATATTATTCAACTAGTTTCATAAATTTAATATTAAATTGTTACCCATTTGAGATTCTTGTTATCACATAGCTTTTATTTCAGTGGAAATTATGTAGATTGATAGAAGAACGAATAATTTCGTTCATTCTGACAGACGGTGTGCCTTTCATTTGTTGTGCATAAAATAAAGTCCCAAACAAAGTTGAACTGGTAAAATTAGATTGTACTGTTTCACAAACTATAAATCAAAGAAAAAGCTTCCATCCGAATAAACAGAAAATTTTGTATGCACAAAATCATTTTTCAAAATAGAATTATAAATGCGATGTGATGCTGCCACATTGTTTTATGGTAAGCAGTCACTGTACAGCAGGCCGACAGTAGAATATACTTGTACCCTAAAATGTGTGTTTAAAAACGTTACATTGTTGCGATTTTCATGTGAAATAGGATTATCGAATGCAAAAGTCCCACATTTACTGCATTGCATTTGTGACCTGATATTTGTAGTGTTTGATTTGAAAAATAGACTGTAAAGAAGACGTCAACACATTTATTTTTGTATCGTATTTACATACCATATATGCTATGTAAAGATGCTGTGGTTGAACAAAGATCTGTCAGTTAGGAGACCCATTCATGTCCAGATTATTCTCCGAACAGAGGTGAGTTTGTTTACTTCATTAATTTAACATTTAAATCACGATGTATATACGGTGGATTCTATATCTATGTTACTGATATACCCACCCCACCCACCCAACCTGCTATCCATTAGTTGTATTCGTTATTATCGTTCTTGTCTTGTTGTTTTATGCCATTTTTCTTATGATAATATTGTTAAACATGACATAATGAACCCATGTGAGAGTAGCATATCCATATTGAGACAGCCGATACGATATTTCCTCAATTTCCATTTGCGAGTCGAGTTATAAAATGGCCGCCAAAAAATGTTCATTCATATCAATACATTCCAGAAGGCGGGTTTAAAAACGTTTTCCCACGGTCGCAGCCAATCATTAACGACAATAATGCACAATAATTTCATGATCTCATCTGGACCAATCAGAATCACATAAAGTGATATGCTCATATTTTATAATATTAAAAATATGAACCTGCACGCACTGTAGGCAAACACAACCGACTATATGATTTTTAATTTTCATTATAACGCTTGGGATGGGATCTTTTTGTGAAATAGTTATTGTTTGTTAAAATCTAAACATCTAATGTCTTGTATATGGAGATATGAAGTTGGTTTGTGTCATCTTCAGAGTCAGGCATGATTTGTTTAAAGTTTGTTTCATTAACCCAATAAAATTAGCTTCATTGTTTGAAAAATAGTCTAGAGTTTTGACCCATTTAAAATATTTCCTTTTGTACTTTTATGTAAATGATCTGGCGTTATAGATAATTTACTTTATCCATGCTGAAACTCTTATACAACTTAAATTATTACCAATTAACCTTCACTAAACGTGAACTTAGGATTAGTATGTGTTTACCATACAAATGAAAATGCAGAAAGCTCATCCATTTATTGTTTTGTGTGTATATGTATATGTGTGTGTTAGAGAGAGAGAGAGAGAGAGAGAGAGAGAGAGAGAGAGAGAGAGAGAGAGAGAGAGAGAGAGAGAGAGAGAGAGAGAGAGAGAGAGAGAGAGATTTGCAAACGTAAACTTTCAATCTGAAAATCTTTGAGATGACATCTATTATCCAATTACAAGAGTAATTAACTTGCTTTTCCACTGTTCTAAAACTGTCTATAAATGTGCTTTAGTTCCAGGAAAATACATTATTATGTATTTAAATTATGTTATTCTACGGGCGACTGCAGCTTATACTCTTTTATTATCACATACATTAAAGTGAAATCAGAAACATCTTTGATTACCAGTTCCATTTGTCTCGTGACCATATTACGTATCGTCGAATTCTAATTTTAGACTAGGAAAGCCTTACGTGCATTTGGTCGACTTGATACGTGATTTTCAGGATTTTTAGATCGAAAACAAGGTTAATGTTAACATATTGACGTTTTGAATCTAAACCGAAAGCAATGTAAAAGTTGCGAAAAATTTATGCAGTAGTGCTCAATACTAACTTTGATTCCGAACTATGGTAAACTACATCAAATCTTTAAAGGATTTTACAATAAAGTTGACACGATGGTGCTAAGACCTATACAGTTTTTACAACAAAGTGGACACGATGGAGATAAGATCTGTACCATTTTCACAACAAAATTAACACGATGGTGATAAGATCTGTACTGTTTTTACAACAAAGCTGACACGATGGTGGTAAGATCTGTTCCGTTTTCACCATAAAGCTGACACAATGGTGGTAAGATTTGTGCAGTTTGCACAACACAGTTGATATGATGGGGATAAGATCTGTACCATTTTCACAACAAAATTGACATGATGGTGATAAGATCTGTACCGTTATCACAACAAAGTTGACACAGTGGTGATAGAATCTGTGCCGTCCGTATGAAACACCGTGTAGCAAGAGATATTTTAGTAAATTTACTGTGTCAATGCCTCAGTTATCAATGACTAGATAATTAGGGGGGCCGAAATAAATTCCAAACTGAAGGTCATATCAGCACCATTTTCATTCGGATATTAGCACATAGTGTTAAAGTGTTTTAATGAATCAATAATGTTAGATCAGACGCAGTTTCATTCAGAGGAAGTAGCCATAAGAATATTTCAACATGGTCACCGATGAAACATTTTTTAAAGGTTAAAATATAATTTCAGCATAGACAAAGCTATATATTGTAAGACGTGTTTTAAGACCATCTGTTAGAAATAGTTGTCACAACAAGATTACTATGATTTCTACTGTCATAGCCATATTGGGAATGTCTACATCATTTTTAACAAAGACCAACTGCATATAAAAAGTCTTTAAGTGTAAACTCCATACCCATAACAAGCCTTGCAGAGAAAACAACCATTTCGATCTAACCATCAATGCTGGAAGCGTGGTAGCAAAATCACTTACAAGATGAGTGCTAAGATAACCATGTTAGATGTCAGTCTGGCATCATTTCAGTTTGGGCGCCCTTAATTGTGTGCGTGCGTGCGTGCGTGCGTGTGTAATTTCGATTTGTAATGTAGCTTCAACAAATCTTCATTCGTATCGCTACGATATCTGCATTTTGACAGTTCATAGTCATGCCTAGCACTAGGCCATCATGACGCAGATATGTAAAATCATGTCCCACCCACTCACATTATACTTACACCAGGCCATCCAATCATAACACTAATCTCTTATTGCACCATTTTTATCATTCTTTGGTTTGACTCGGACGGGATTAGAACCCGTGACCTCCCGCATCGGAGGCGGACGTTCTAACCACTTAGGCAACTGGAACAGTTCCTTTAATTGAAAATCATTTATCACTATGAGCATCCGTTTAGGAGATGTTGCTATAAAAAGATTTACTCTCTATAGCTGCCATTTTTAATGTTAGATCAGACGCAGTTTCATATAGGAAGATTATATGCAATTTCATTCAGGAGGAACAGCAAGAATAGGATTTTCAAGATATAAGATGTTAGAAGAGTGTACTGTTTTTATTTATGATTACGATGGAGCGACATTGAGATGACAATCGTCTCAGCATTTCATGAACAGCAACAATAACACACATGTGCTAACGGAAGGATAGACAGAAAGCAGATAAATAGAAAGACAAAGGACAGTTAGTATAGTATAAACATTTTTGGTCTTTGTTCAGCAGAGCGTCTGAAGTAAAATTACTCATTATTGGTACTGATCACAAAGACTAAATTTAAAGAGACATTGAAAACGATCCTTTTTTGCAATGATACAAATTTGTTTTCGCTCTAAATTTGTATTCTCAAACACGAAAGTAAACAGTGATATCAAAATAAAATAAATAAAAATGACACTTTCAATACATTTTAATGTCAAGTTTTTGAATAAATTATCGTACAAGAAAATGTACCAAACAAATCAATTTTTAATTTAAATAAAACAAATTTGTTTAAAAGAACCTTGACAGTTTTAACTTGCAGGGAAATTCCAAACTTTTAAAAATTAGTTGTCTTTAAACGAGATCAAAATCACCAAATCCTTTGAAAATCACCATGAAATACTTGATGGAAACTATCTTTAACCTCCTTGATATATCATCACTAACGTCATTGAAAATGCTTTGGTCAGTGTGATTGCTTTCCTCGATGCTTTTGGTCATGTCATTACTTTACTCATTGTCTTCATGTTTTGTAAAAAGAATTCGTATTAGAATGCAGTATTTTCAAAACATACTTCTAAGTTTTCGTTAACTTTTTACGATTTCATCATATAGAAACTTCATGTAAAATTCTTGCATTTTCGTTTCACGCTATTCATGGCAAGAAAATACTAACCTCTAGTTATGCTATTTCAATATACAAGTTCAAATGTGTCATGCAAATTTCCTGTACCGAAGTGTTTTCATTATCTCCAGTTCTTTTTTTCTTCATGGGGGATAATGCATTTTGAGGAGAAGCTTCAGGTAACGGTAAAATCGATTCTTCTTTTATCCGCTCGTTTTAAAGAGTAAGTAAACGTATTTTTAAGATATGACAAATTACGTAATCTGACAAAAGATATAGTGACGTAGTTTTACCATGACGTTCGACTCGTCTGTAACTATGACTCTTTTCTGAATGAGTCCATGGCCTTTTCATGGATTAAACGTGCAGCTCACTGGATCAGATTAGCGTTTAACATGGATCCAGAGCATTCTTTTTGGGAATATTTACCTGATATTGCTGTGATAGAGGTGTTTAAACACCTGGGAGACAGAGACCGCGTAAACATGGCTCTCGTCTGCAAAAACTGGAATCGTTTGCTCGGTACACCATGTCTGTGGAGATCCAGGCATTTTGATATGGCAGGATACCGAGCTCAAATAATTGGAACTCGTGCATGCAAATATGCTGAAAGATTTGGAAGTTACTTGAAGAGGTTGACCATTACATGTAGTCATCCGTCTTACCATACCTGTAAATATTTCCAAAAGGCAATGGAGGATATGATTAGTAGGCTGCAAAAGGCACAGCTTGAAGAATTTGAGATGGAGCGCCTGGAACTGGATAGGTTTTGGAAGTATGAATCTCCTCGAGAAAGGTTGATAAATTCATTTGTGCGCTTTTTCAAAACTCAGAAATCTCTTCAATACTTTGATATGTCCATGGGACAGTTTCCAGTTCCCGGTGGTTGCAGAATCCTGGAGGCCGTTGCGCATGGCTCTGGTGATAAAGTGTCAGATATGCTGATTGAAGACTTTTTTCACTCTCGCCTAGCTGTTTTTCAAGTGAGACGTTACATTACAAGCATTTCGAAATTTACAAACATCAAGTATCTAGCTCTGAATTACAATTGTTTGTCAGAAGATATCGTTGAAATATTTTCGAAAAATCTTGCCGGAAAACTGGAAGCGGTGAATATCAAGGTATACAGAAACGACCCTCATTTTCATCATATATCTGGATACGCTTGGCGGCTTCTAAAATCGGCCTGTCCCAGACTCCGTGTGGCCTTTTGGTTAGAGAGCATGGGGCACTCATCCGAGATAATCCCCATTCTGGTGAAGGATATTCCAGTTTGGGACATCCACCTATGGACGGGTTATGATGATGATGCCGAATGGCACCTGGCCCAGACTATTGACCATATTACAGATTCCTATGGTCACATTATAGGTAAGATAGTAAAATGTCAGTGTCTTCTAATTTTTATCTCATTCACAAGTCTATTACGTTATAATTGCTTTGTGAGATTAACAAGAAAGCAGAATAAAGGAAAATGTAAGATTAAAGCATGAAAAAAAGAAAGATTTTGACACTAATACTTTAGTGTGTGAATTCACCATTTCTGCAAATTGTTTGCTGTTGAAACAAAATCTCAATCGGCACACGCCAAATTCTCATGGGAACGGCTTTGCTCCGGGGACACATCTAATAATTCTGTCAATTAATATGGAAATACATTTTGAATGCAATTTATTAAACATCATAAAAAGCTAAATCTGTTTCTTCATCTTGAATATAGGAAATTTAGTTAGATCAACCCTACTTGTTAGCACTTACTGAAAAATTAGCGCTAGCAATTTAGATATTTTAACAAGAAAATTTAACATCTGCCATTTTTATTATTATTATTATTATTATTATTATTATTATTATTATTATTATTATTATTATTATTATTATTATTATTATTATTATTTAAGAAATTACAGTTTTAAAATGTGTATTATAGCATCGTTTCCGTTGTGTACTTAAAACTACAACTTGCATCAAATTTTCAACCTCCTAGTTCACTATGTTTACACTCTTGCAAAAGACAATTTCAGTGAAATAAAGAGAAGACCAAAATTCAATGTTTACTCACACTGCTATTTGAATCATCAGGTACAAACGAACATGACGTAATTGTATGACGATTTTACGGCTGGTCTGAAATACGACTCTTTAATTACATCTTAGAGGCCGTGTACGGCTTCTATGTAACGCAGCTCTTTACCGAGCTCCTTGAGGTACTGTATGTCTTGTCTGTAACACAGCTCTTTACGTAACCCTTCGAGGTTTTATGCGCTTTTACTGGAACACAGCTCTTTACATTGCTCCTCGAAGTTCTGTACGGATTGATTGGAAAGGCTTGTTAAATTGCTTTTTGAGAGATCAATATAAAACGTTTCAATCATACTGACGTCGTTGATCACTTTTTTTTCTCATTTAAATTATTTTCTTTATGTTTTGCCTCAATTCCTTATTTATCATAGTTTTATTATATTTTATAACAAAGGGGTATTCAGACGGAATGCACACTTAGATGTTTAGATGTTTTGTTCATAAATATATTTTATGCATCATGGATAATTATGTGTATCTGATTATTCATCTTCACGTTATTATTATGTTGTAAAGTGCTATAGTGCGTACAAAAGCCACGACATCGAATTTCAATGTATGCAAGTATCCGTCACATATTTCACTTTAGACAAAGTAATGTTATTTTGCACTAAGGTGCGGGAATCAACATAGGTGATCAATGGTTGGAACTAAGAGCAAAAAGAAAGTCAGGCTTTATTACAAAGATCGTAAACAACTCATGGTATAAATTTATTTCGACGATTTGTCCATGGGACTGAACTGTCAAACCAAAAAGTGACAAGATTTAAATCTAACCGGATTGTATTATCAACATTTTACAGACGAAGACGTTGAATCTCTAACTCGAGGTTCGAAACTTGGACAATTTATAAAAGTTAGGACCACAGAACTTTCAGATTTCTCTCTCTCTCTCTCTCTCTCTCTCTCTCTCTCTCTCTCTCTCTCTCTCTCTCTCTCTCTCTCTCTCTCTCTCTCTCTCTCTCTCAAATACATTTCCATGACACAGATGCACGATAGTTATTATAATTATTAAAGATGCGTAACTGTCATATCTGTTTTGAAGTTTTGAGCTTGAGTTTCGTGCTCAAACATTTTCTAGAATACCTGAACATGAAGAATGCCGATCTGCAACAGTTTTAACTTCTATTTAAGCGCCGTGAAGTTCAATAAACCATTAAGAGTTGATAGCGACTGTTAACTTTAAAACAGAACAGCTGCCGCTGAAAATCGAACTATGGACCTACTGCAGCAAAGTCAAGTATAAGTACCATTAGACGCAAAGCCCTAAAACTGGCAACAGTAGAACGCTCGGTCCTCAAAACTGACAGTATTGATCAACTCGCTCGCTTTTAACGTCCTCGCAACGGAAATGAAATTATGTGCATGCGCATTTCGTGTAAGGCAGAGTGAACAAACAACAAAAAGTAAATTCAAGCAGCTACAAAACTGACCAATTATATATAATCTTTAATGCAATTAAGGAAACAAAACATGTGCTATAAAAATTGTCTAGTATGGGTTTCAACAGTAACGAGTATGATGATCACTAACAAATAAAAACGAAAAATGAGAAATTCAATATGTGATACATGCATTTTTGTAAGATAGGTATCCACTGTGAAACAAATATTATTTAACATGTAAAGTTAAAGTAATAGTTGTATTTTGTAGATATGCTGTAACATTGTATTTTAGACAGGCATTGACATAAATACACTTTATATATTTTTCTCATTATCTACATGTGTAAATTATTATACAGTCAAACCTGCATTAGTAAGCGACTACAACATCATGTATACGAGATTCATGATATAAAATAAAATCATTACATGGTTACTCTCGTGCATAATTTAATTTCTTCAACAAAGGCTGGTTCATGTTAAAAATTTCACCAATCACTCGCACCTTTTTTGTGTGTGCATACATTCTTTCCGTTAACAAATGTTATCGGCATTCATGTTAAACCTT